CTCTGGGGCCCACCCAGCCTCCTCTACAATGGGTACCGGGATCCTTTCCCGGGGGTAAAGCCGGCCGGGGCGTGATGCTGACCACTCACCCCCATCTAGTGCCGAGGTCAAGGAAGAGAGGAGCTATACCTCCACTCACCCCAAGCGCCTACATGGCGTATAGTGGGACAAACTTTACTTTACTTTTACTGTTGAATACATCAGATTACTTCTTTTAAGAAGGAAATATAATGCATATTTTGTACAAAGACTTTCAGAATACGAAACACTATTTTAACTTGCATCATGATACTGTATAATTTTAGATACCAGGAATTATATGTTATAGAAATGTTATACATTCTTCACTAATTGACCTACATTATTTGATGAGCATCCCAATAAAGGGTTAAGGTAAAGGGGTAAGTGGGCTATGACATGGATTTTCTGTGATTCACACTCTCACAATTCATACCACTTTCCATCAATCACCAGAGAAGAGGCTTCATTGTATTTATATTTAACATTTTATGTACAAAATACCACAGATTTCTGCCTGTAAGAACTGCACGGACTAGAAGCCCTAAACAGCTTAACGTAAGTTACCAACCTGGAAAATTGGATGAGAGAGCAAGTCGGACAAGACTGGAGACAGAGCTGGGACCACGAGCAAAAAGTGAGCTGCCTGGAGATGGAGAAGGTGTCGTGCATGACGGAGATGAAATGTTCCCTGCTCCACCACTGCCTGCGTTGCTTGAACTTGATCCTGTGCCACTGCAACCAGTCGTCCCAGTGCCACTCGTCATTGCAGCAAGAGCGCGCCTACGTGCCATTGCTGCAAATGTCTCGAGAAGCCCAGCAGCAGCTGATGTTTCCATTGTGTTGGTACCTGCTGCTGATGTCAAATTTGGTACACTGACACTCATCGGATTTGACGCACCGATGGAACCTCCGCTTGGCTCTTTGTCCTTATTGGTGCAATCTTTCTCTCTCTTAACTAGAAAAGTAACAATTTAAATGTGTTGAGATCTGCTCTTCATAGGGAAAATATAATTTAAACAATTTATAACAGATCTGTCATACCTTCATATTCTTGTAGTATGAGAGGATATACAGAAGGTAGGGTAAAAGAGATGAGAATTGATTATCAGAGGACAGAGATGAATAAAAAAAATTTTTGTTGTAGACAATGGGTCCTGATGGAAACACAACAGACTATGGTAGTGTTGGTGACAGCATAAAAGACAATTTTGATAAAATTAACATTAGGGAGGTCACAAACTCAAAATACCTGGTAAGAGAATATATGCAAAATGAATATGAGAAAGAATGGATAGATATTCAAGAGAGCTTATAGGAGGACAGACAAATATGAAGTAGGCTTTGTCACTGCTTAGGTGGAATCAGCAGATGATGATTCCTGAACACAATACAAGTCAGAACAGCTTGCTCAGAAGCAACAAAATACTTATCATGATACACTCTAAAGGTGTCCTAAGATTAGTCATCACAGCAAGCAAATTACAGTTAACTATATAACATTCAGATTAAGTCATACTCTCAGTCACTGCAGCGGATGGATGTCTGTTCTTGATGCGCAGCCCCTTCTCCTCATTCATGCCAGTGTCTGGACTCTCTTGCCCTCCAGACACGCTAATACGAACTGATGGAGCTAGAGTGGCAGCCATTAGTCCTATAATAAAGGACGTTCACTTATCATTCTAGTACACAAGTACAGTACAAAATGTTACTACATGTTGCACATTTTGATATAAATTAAAACACTTTGCCCCATATTCAAGAGCAAACGGTTGTCTTCAGACAGAGAACACATAACAAATCAGTGAAGATGACATTTGTGTCATACAAAATCCGCACACAATTCTCACATTCAGAATCAAAGTGAAACAAAGCCAAATAAGGATGCACAACTAATGGTCGTAACTAAACGAGGAATGATCTCATGTCAGGACTTGATCAAGAAAGAAGACATGGATGGGACATGTAAGCATGCAAAGTAAAATATGAAAAATTCTGGTTGGAAAAACCAAGGACAAAGACCATCTGGTAGACTTACACACAGATGACACGCATATTCACACAAAAGGAAAATATAAAGAGGAGACATAAAGAGAAAAGGAAACAGCCATTCTAACATTACCTATGGATGTTGCAGAAGATGGCTGCTGGCCAGACCCAACTAACAGAGAAGAAGGAAGCAATTCTCCAGACAGGAAACTGTTTGTGTTGTTGCGCAGTAAGTCTGCACCTTCTCTCATCTTGTCTAGCACCTCTACAGCTTCTGCAGCCAATACAGAGTGAGGGTCTGCTGCGGATGACAGCTGAACTTTACTGGCACGAGACGACCCATATGTCTTGTTCACGGAGGTGGAACTGGACGAGGATGAAACTAACAGGTTTGTCTTTGCGGTTGCAGCTTCCACATTTGGAGTATTGCCGGAGGTTGAAATCTTGTTTCCACTATATGACAAGTTTGTTTCCTCACTGCAACTCATCTGTCGCCTCAGTTGGTTGCTTGGTGAAACTAATTGAACAAATATGTATATTGTTACTACTGATGTCACACAGCTATTCAAGACATTCGATACCTATAATGGAACATTCATTACCATGTTCACAACAACTCACCATTAATCCCTATCCTCAGCCACATACCAACACCATCCAACTCTGTTTTCCTAAGATCCATTTTAATGTTATCTAGTCTTCTAAGTGGTTTCTTCCCTTCAGAATTTCCAATCAAAATTCTGTATGAATTTCTAATCTCTCTCACGTATGATACAATCCCTTCCCATATCATCCTCCTATTTTAATCATCATAATATTTGGTGAAGAGTACATTATCACAGAGCTCCTACAGGAAAGCCTGTTCTTAAGTTGATAAAATATTCCATTTGCCCTAGACAATGCCAATTCATTGCTGATTTAGTGCACCACTTATCCCATCTGACTTCCAGTACTCCAACAGAATCTAATTTTATTATTATTATTATTAGTGTTCTGTCTGACGACAGGTCCATATGAACAGGATCCTTCCATCCTTTTCTCGAACTGGGACCTGTTCTTATACGTTCTTGGCAGATGATCCAGAAGTGGTTTGCCATTGCCTTCTTCTGTGTGTGTGTGAATGGAGTAATTGTTGGGATGGCACGGAGAAACCGGGGAAGCCCCCGGAGGAAAACTCCGTGTTGCCTAGACCACGGCCTTGCCCAACACAAGTTATACATTCGGGCACCGCCGGGATCGAACCCGAGACCCCAGGATTACAAGGCCAGCGTTCTAACCGCTAGACCATCTTTAATTCTCTTAGCACTGATTCAAAATCTCATGTCCATTTTTTTGTTACTTGGGTTGTTTCAAAAAATCTGTCCATGTGCAAGGCCTTGTGTAACATTTCATAATATGCTAGTTAATTCACAGTAAAGAGTTGTTAGCCACCTGTCCATCCCATAATCCCTGTTGGCTGTCTGTAACTGTTCATTCAATATATTCACAATTATCCTCTATATCTGGATGCAACCTCAATTCAAAACCCAAGAACACATGATGTTATTATGAAAAATTACCCACTTAATGCAGAATATTTAATTTCTTCCCTCCTAATGCCTAAAACCATTCAGTCATACAAACAATACATTTGCCTCCTTTGCTACATACCAGTGTTGATCTTTGTGGATTCACCAAGTGTCAAAGTCTCTACAATGGTAGCAAGATCACTGGCGGCTGAAGATGAGATTGAAGACAAGTCAGTGTGAGGATCTCTTAACGCATGCACTACAACCGAGAGCTCTCCAGCTGGTGTAGATGATGACTGGCTCTCCCCTGTCACTGCAACTATTGCTTCAGCTCGTGCAACTGATATTAAACTCTCAGCAATCGCTTCAGCAGCTTGCTACAGCATACAAAGAAAACATACCTTAAACACACTGCTGACATGGCTAAGGAACAAGGAGAGATAGAATAATTTATGAAGTCGGTTAATTCAATTACACTTGTGACGCATTCATCTCACCATATCTAACACCTCAATACCACAGGTAAAAAAACACATGAAACTAGCATAAACGGTGACATTTTCTCTACAGCAGATGCAACAAGATATGTCATTACTTGTACTTGAAATAACCTGAATTATGTTTCTACAGATTGGGCACACCAGTACATAAAGTTCAGGGAAATATTAAGGCAGGTAAGATATGAAGATATCCGTCTTCTGGGTTATTGCGCTGTGTAGTCTGGTCGATGTTAACCAACGTTTCAGAGGTCATACTGCCTCCGTCATCAGGACCTCCATTTAGTACAGTACAGTGAAACCTCGATGCATCGTTTTCGGCGGGGGTGGGAAATAAAAACGATGAATGCGGGAAAGCATTAAATTTTTTTTAAAAAAAACAATGTTTCTCTTTCAAAGTTACTTCTTTTTACCAAAAAAGTCTTTAGTGGACAACTGGTTTGTCGAAACTTTACGTTTTAGACCAAACAGAGCACTTTCCACGTTCAAAATGTTTTCTTCGTCACGTTCACTAATATTAAGCGCATAAAAGAACGACTTCACTTTCGCCAATGCAGCGTGTGCTTCGGCAAAACTCGGCAAAGCTTCGGGCGCGCATTCGTCGTCTTCCTCTTCCTCACCACTCCAACCCC